TTTGATCCAATCAGCCTCTCTCTGCTAGTATCCCACACACACACACACACACACACACACACACACACACACACACTGCCTCTAACACCAGCTGTGGCTAATGATGCGGTGGCAGCGGCGGTGTTGCCACCACATGCGGTCTCTTTTGTCTGAGCCCGAGCGGAGCACACGTCAGTCTTACATGCTTTAACCCTCAGACATCATCGCAGACTGAGGCTATTTCCAGAGCGTTACGGTATAAGAGCTCATTACCTCTGTGGGGGAAGGTGACGCCATTTTGCATTTTTATGCAGCAATCCCTCCTGGGCTCGACAGAAAAAGTTTAGACTCAGAGCCATAAGTTGTTTGCTTTAAACACTCATTTCATTAATCCCCTACAAAGTCAACCACAACAACAGGTGATCAAACACCGGAGCTGCTTGTCTTGTTCCTGTGGGGGAGAACTTTTTAATTATAGATTAGATACCATAACAGTAACTTTCTGTTGATGCTGGCGATAACTTCAGTTGTTGGATGCTGCAAAATCCAAAAGGACCTTTGATTCTAAAGTTAGTCATTGCAATATGAGCGTTTACGGATCACACATCACAGAAGTCTGATTTAAAGGCAAAAAATAAGGAATGTTTTAATTGTTAAAAATGAATTCTTTCTCACTCAAATTGGCCATCACCCAACATCTGTCAGTATTCAAAACCTATCTTATCATGTGTCTTATTGGGCCATGTTTACTGACATTCTTTAAGCTAATTTGTAAGCCAGATGACTTTGCAAATTGAAATTGCAAAGAGTGACGCAGCTCGTAAGCGCGGCTCACCGTGAGCTGTTTATTGACGATCCTCTGAGTGTTGCGCTGCTCCTCAATACAAAGCACAACACTTCAGTGTGTCCACCTTCAATAGAAAAGCACTAAATGTCATATTGTTTCCGAGGGGGAAACTGAAAATCACAGAGCAAAGACTGAAATATTTATTTTTGGGGTATTTTTCTGCCTTTAATGGAGAGATAGGACAGTGGATAGAGTTTGAAATCAGGGAGAGAGAGAGAGTAGGAAATGACATGCAGGAAAGGAGCCGCAGGTGGGTTTTGAACCTGGGCCGCCCGCTTGGAGGACCACAGCCTCCATACATGGTGAGCGTGCACTAACCACTGCGCCACCAGCGCCCCAAAGACTGAAATATTTAACGGATGCAATGTGACGCATGTATATAACGCTCGCATGCTTTTAGGACAACGTGTAAGTCTTAAAGGTGTCTCTAGAGGGCACTCCAGAGAACAAAGTTAGGTTCAAAGTTCTTCGAAATGTGCAACGAAGATGGTCCAAATCTCCCATTACTCTCCAAGAATATGTACTGGCATGATACAGAGAGTCGGGAACGAGAGAAAGTGGTTATGTAATCGAGGCTCTGGACTGATCTGAACACTCAGTGCCAAGTCTCATTGAGTGTGATGATATTCAACATAACAGGGATGAAGTTTTAACAGTGTAGCTTTTCATCACTCTTACCTGGAATCTGTGGCTCGTCTCCCAGACGTTTACCAAAAGGACACTTTCATGATTCCTTTTAGTTGAGAGATTATCAGCTTTCAAGAAGCTCCAGAAACAGATCAAGTTCTCCCACAATGCACCTGTGTGTTACTAACTGGTCTTAATAGGCAAAGTTCTGTGTTTCAAGGTTAATCATACTTAACGGTAAAATATAGAATATCTGACTTTCAGAGTAGATGTCCAGTAGATGCTGCACCATAGCAACAGTCTCTAAGAGCAGAACAAAGATTTTCTTCCACTGTCCCTAAGCGTCCCTGAGTGGGCGGGGCCGTCTCTCATAGCCCATTTGGTGGCAGGGCCAATGGTTGGACAGGGAGGGGTTCACTTGAATGAATCCTGTTAAATCCTCAAAGTAAAACATAGACAAAGTGATGGAAGTGTGAACACAGAGCTCAAAACAACAAATCCAGAGGGGGTTTGACTTCACTCTCTTTAGAGAATCATTTCTATACAATATATGTAGCTAGAATATATTTGATTTCTGCTATACTTGTCACTTATTATATCTTTAACACAAGAGCCTTTTATTTGCATTCAAGCAGGGGTGAAACCAGGGGGGTCCTGGGACACTCAGGTACCCTGATTGGCCGCCCTCTTGGAGCTACCCAAAATCGTTATCAGAGGCCAGGCTGTATGCTGCAGGCTGCTAACAGCTTTCTTTGCATTTCATTGTGGTGCATTTCCTTTATGACCTTGGACATACATCTTCTTTCTTTTTCTTTTTTTGGGGGAGTTTTCAACTTGAACAGTATAAATCGCTGCATGATGTACAAAATACAAAATATAAAGTCCCCCATCCCGAACCAAACCCTCTCATCTCCCCCGTCCACCTCCCAAAACCACCCTCAGTCCCACCCCAACGTTATGCTTATAACAGCAATGATAACATAATATAATACACATATACATACATTTATCCACATACAGTCAGTGAACACAAATAATTAAGGTCATGCAGCTGAACCTATTAAACCACGTCATAAAGAGTGCTATGTGTCATTCTAATGTGTTATCCCAGTAACAATAGTGAAATAGGCTTTGAATGGAAACCACATTTTACTGAACTCGGCCTTTTCCCCCCTTCATGGTGCATTTAATCTTTTCAAGTTTTAGATGGAACATGACTTCCTTCATCCACTTGGCATGGGAAGGAGGCTCATACGTCTTCTTTCTGTTCCCTTAAAGGGATACTTCACCCGTTGAAACATGAATCTGTATTGACATTGGGTCATATATGTCGTAGAAAACACAAGACCGGCCTGTCGGCAGCAGCCGTCTCGCCGCTATATTTAGATTTTTTCGCCATTATCAGCTTTCTCCATAGAGCCTGTTAGTATAGCTTCCAAGCAATATGGCGGGCAGTAAGTTTAGATTCTGGGAGTGAGGTCCCACCCACTGATCTGTGATTGGTCTGTAGCTTCAGTGGTCAAAAATATGAGTTTGTAGTTTCACCCCGCTAACCGCAACAGCTTCCAGTGACGCAAAAATCATAATTTTTGCGTCACTGGAAGCTCCTTTTCAGACTTAGAAATACAAAGATTTCCATCTCAGGGGAAAATGAGGACGGGATGTACAACCATTCAAAAATACTTCCAGGTTTCTAATGATACAAAGATTAATGCAAATGGGTGAAGTATCCCTTTAAGGAACAAAGCATCGAGGGATTATGTATTACCAGTCGTGTTACATTTTCAAAAGTTGAACATCTTTAAGATACTTTATTTTTACTAGTTGAAGTTGTGTTTGTTTTCACACAAAGCCCCCCCCCCCTTTGCATAAGACAGTGTCCCAGTTGGGCCAACTCAGTTTGGATAAAAAGTCTGCATCCGCCCCCGTATCCGAGATACTCTATTTGATCCTTGCTCTTAAGTGCTACATGTAAATGAGAACCACTTTTGTGTTCCAGGGATACATGTTTATGTGATCTTACTGTTGACCTTAGATCTCTGAGAAACAGAGTGCAAAAAAACAGTTTTACAGTCAGATCTTTATTTGTGTTTTGTATCCAAGCGAAGAGATTATGTGTCTCTTTAAATCCGCACCACGGAACAACTTATTTAACATCCTGACCGTGAATACATATAAATCCATAAAACACACATGGCCGCCGCTTTGATTTATTCCAAAGCGCCTACGCTCTTTTTTATTACAATACAAAGGATAAGGCTTGTCCGGCCGTATTATATATATAAGTGTTTTGTTTGTTTAGTTGTTGCTGTTTTCCTCCAGTATAACCTTTACTGTGTAATAGAAACTGAAAGGTCACACAGCGTGTCACTTCACTTTAAGGATTCAAGAGCTACAGTGCGCCCGTGGCCAAAGAGCACTACCAAATCTCTAAAGATCAGAGGGAGAAGCAGGTAGAATAACTGAGAGAGAGAGAGCTGACAGCCTGCCCGGCTCGAGCGGCGCTGAACACACTGAAGAATATAACACTGAATTTTTCTCTCTTTTCTGCATCTGAGATTTCCATTTCCTTAATGCGAGGGGAGGAGGAAATTAAACAACATGAATTAAACAACGCGCCTCGACATTTATGTGCCCGCCATAAAGCCCGGGCAGGTTGAATTTATGAGGGTTTGGACCAGTAAATACAGCACTCAGGAAATGTGATTAGGCTCATGAATGGGATACTTTCCCGCTGTCCCATTCTTCACCAAAAATACCTCGAAGAAGCACATGTTGGGACATTTTCCTGCTTTACTACACTGCCACCCTGGGGCGCCAAATTGTGAAGCGTCCGGTGTTGATGATTTCTGTGACTTGAGACACAAAAAAAAGTTTGATTATTGCTTCTCTTTTATTCTAATATCATACTACTCCAATTCAAGTGTAAATCATGAATCATATTTCGTCTTTGAATAATTGCGACAATAGGCTTGTGTGTACGGGATAAACCAGGAAGTAACATGACAGTCTTGGTAGATTGACAGAGCCGTCTTACATGGATTTCAACTTTGAACTTTCCTAAAAAGTGGAACGTTTGAAAAACAAGATTACAACAGCATCCTATAACAGGCCTTTTCTTTCTAGTCTTCATTTCTTCATCTTCCAAAGTTGTAAATAACAAGATTATACCAAAACATCCAAAACTTGATTCAATCAGTTTTCTTTCTTTATAAACTCACAGATGCACTGTTTTCGATGAGCATCACTTTTAAAACTACATTTTGTATTTTTCCTCCCCGGCCCGATCAGTTGCTCTCAGGGTGCATCGACTGTGAAAACAAGATTGTGGTGTGATCTATTGATTTCAGCTCAGCTTACAAGATCGAATAAATGTGGAAAAGCAAAGATTTTGAGTAGAAAAAAAATCATTCTTTACATTTTTCTCTCCACATGATGGCAGCTATAGAGCAAATCTTCCCACTACACAAACTTTACTATTATTATTATTACCATTTTTAAGACAAACCTTTATGTTGATGGGATTTCTCTTCTCTTTGTCTCCCAGGTGGAGTGGCTGAAGAACGAGGAGATAATCGACCCGGCAGAGGACAGAAACTTCTACATCACCATCGACCACAACCTGATCATCAAACAGGCGCGTCTGTCCGACACCGCCAACTACACGTGTGTGGCCAAGAACATCGTGGCCAAACGACGCAGCACCACAGCCACTGTTATCGTCTATGGTAAGTTAGCACGCTAAAATCAGAGAGTGAATGACACGGGACATCACTAAAAACGTGCTCTTATTCACGGGTTTAATTATCAACATATTGAATATTAATTTTGGTGTAAGCAATTTTTATATTCTTTTCTGTTTTTCCTTTTAACACCATAAACATATAGCAATTTTTTTCATTTAATAAACCAGTGCAACAAATAAACCAGGATAAAACGCTATCCGCCATCGTGACCATTTCTCCCTACAAACTGCCTGACACCATTGAAAATCGCCCAATTTCATTGAGTATAACTAGCTGTGTCACTACGCCATACATGCTAGGATACATAGCTACATTAGGTCATACTCATGCATATAAAGAAAACAGTGGTAAACATTTAAGTAAGCAAACCTTAAAAAGTGCTGGTTAGATGGTAAATAATCCTCAATTAAAGACAAGTAACTAGCGGAGGTGAGCTGCGACACTGTAGGCAAATTGTTTGGTCCTTACTAGCCGCTAGGAGCTAAACTACCAAACAGTAGCTAGCAGGATTGCAAACTCCACGTGGTGAAAACAGATGTCACTAGAAAGAAGCCTTGCATCCTCTTAGAAACTGCACATTGCGGACAGGAAGACAGTTTAAAACCTTCTACCCCCCAAAACAGACAGCGTCTTCTGTACTAGTGCGACTTTTATTCCAGATTTTATGACACTTTGTAAAAGCTAGCTAAAGCTAACCAAACTATGTCCAGGATCGCCCGTAGGCCAGGCCCCCCCCCAATCTGCCACATGAAATGAGCTCCTCTACCAAGCTGGCACTTTCTCTTTTCAATCAGCCAGACAGTCCCACCTCACCTTTGACCTCAACCAATTAAAACTCACCAACCAATCACACCTTCAGTTTTTAAATTAGAACATGTGTGCTTTCCAAATGTCTCGACGTTCAGCCAATTTTCCCTCCGCCGCCCGAATGAATTGTGCGGCATATGGCGTGATAACAGCTGTGGAAAAACACAACAAACTTAGAATAGCTTCCTTCTAAATGGTTTTGTTGTTTTTCCAGACAATGCTCTTCTATTGCTTTTTTTTTTTTGTTCTAAAACTGAGAAGAAAGAGAAGGAGAGAAAGCTTGTTTCACTTCTTTTTTTTTTTTTTTTTTTCCATTTTACCAAATGTCAGGCTGACATGAGAGGACGGGAAACATTTTGAGGAAAAACAATGTAAAGCACTACACACACACACACACACACACACACACACAGTGTTTCTCTCAAATGTAACACTGAGTCTATTCACTAGGAGTGTTTCAATCAAAAATAACAGTGCGTGCGTGTGTGCGATACAGACGGCAAGAGATGGAGTGGTTTGACACTGATGTATCCTTACAGAAATAGATTGTTCAATCTGTGGTTCAATCTTCTGGGCTCTACAAGGGCCCAGCTGACACTGTTGACAAGGTGAAATGGTGAAAAAACAGAAGGAGGGGGAAAAAATGGAGCAGATATAGATAGAAGAGACAGGTGAGGAGAAGAGAGTGGGAGGAGAAAAGGTGCGTGAAGAGGAGATGACAAAGGTGACTGTACCTGATTTTAGCAGACGTCTGGAGAAGGAGTGGGCACCGTCCACTGAGACACGAATGTCCAGATCCAGCAGAGGAGTTTCAACCCACTGCCTCTCTCCAGATGTCGGCTCACCCTCTCTCTGGGTGTCCTTGTGACTCATTCTAACTTTATACCTGATTTTTCTCTTTCTGACTGTCTTTCAAAACGCCCTTATCTTTGTCTGCACGCCACTGCCACGTTTGTCTTGTGAGAAACAACAATAATGCAAAGTAATGAAGCAAAAGAAAGGGTGGAAATCTGACTGGATGCAGGGAAAATCTTGCAACAGCGATGACAATGCGACTGACAAAAATAGGCTGAAAGTGGAAAAATCTACACAAAAGGGACAAAGGAAGAGAAACAGCCTATAGTGACTGAAAATAAGGAGGTTTTGGCTATAGTGAGGATTCTTTGTGATGGTATTGTTTCTCCCTGTGCGCTCTCTCCAACACGAGTTCAGGGTTAAGTAATTTTGCAGGCAGCATCACAGTATGTGAACACAGTGGGGAAAAAAGTTGTGCTCCAGTAAAAGCAGGGTTATAGAAGAGTTGCAAAATGTTTGTGTGTTTTTTTTCTCCAACCACTCCCTGCACCCTCTCTCTCTCTCTCTCTCGACACTTCCCACTCTGTGGTGCGTGCTCATGTGGAGGGTCGGCCACATCGAGTGCCGTCCAAAAACTTCTGAGTGTGGAGTAAGAGTGGATTGTTAAACCCTCCAACTGCAAGTCTGCCCCGATGCTAAGTGAAGCTGGCCTTACACCAAATGACATCTCAAGCAGTTTTTAAAATCACAGACACATTTCCAAAGTCAAAATCAGGAGAGTTTTGCTCGACTTGGTGCTCACGCCTATCATTTTGGATCATTGATGTTTGCACCGAACGTTTTTAATAATGTTGCAGGTCTTCAGTCGTGTCTTGTGCGTATTGTCTTATTTAGTGATCGTTGTTAACAACCAATTGGAGCGGTGTCACCAGCTCCAAACAGGAAGCTGCAGACTACTGGAAAATGGAGTTTGGAGGCCACTCCCTAACCACTCTCCCTCCACACTTCCAGTCTGCGTGCTCGTGTGGAGGGTCCGTCACATTGAGTGTCGTCAAAAAGCCCTGGAGTGTGGAGTGAGAGTGGATTGTTAAACCCTCCGAGTGCAAAGTCTGCACAAATGCACAGATTTATTGAACAGATGTAACACCTCACAGTTCAGTGTTATGACCCACACAAAGTTCAACGCCTCCTAGAAAGATTTTGAAAAATATTTGTATCGTACAGATGTAAAAAAAGAAAAAGAAAAGTTATTTTCAAGATCTAATTTAGGATTTTGTAGTCCTGAGAACAGTGCAAGTGTGTTTATTTGACTCTGAAGTGTTTTAAGAAGCTCTGTCCAATGTGTGAAAGCCTGTCCAATATTTCCTCTAAAAAATAACAAAAAATAAAGCATCTTATAAACGTCAGGTTGAAATGACAAGATGTTATATAGAAGGAATTGTGGAGTGATTTTAATGAGTCAGATTTTATTTGGACAATTTATTATTGGAGTGGCATAACACCATGGTTACAGAAAGTTTCTGTTTTCTTGGGGAGGGGATTGTGTGTGTGTGTGTGTGTGTGTGTGTGTGTGTGTGGGGGGGGGGGGGGGGGAATCCAGCTGTTCCCACTCAACTTCCAAATCACAGCCTCCTGGCATCTGCAAAACACACCCGATTCCATCAAGACAAGTAGTTCAATTAAATCAAACAAGACATTAAAATAACAGATATCCTCTTTAACGATGACGTCTCAGTGACAGGAGAAGATTTGAATCCACTGCTGGTCCCTTTATTGCTTCAAATCTGCCCCTTTTTTTTCTAGAGAAACATTACACTACATAAAGCTTTTCTATTACTTTGTCCACCACAGCTTGTTCAATTAAACCTGGGGTGTTTTATTTGTTTTTCAATGGCCAGTTGTTCTCTGCAGGGGATTTTTGTGATTAACCAATTATTTTAAAGCTGAGGTTAAAACACTTTGCAATGGACCAATCTGTAAGATATCTCCTGAATTTAATCATAAAATGACCTTAATACATCATCAGACATTAAGGAGACATGCTATGTTGAAGTGCCAGTATGTCCTCTTTCTACTTTAGATTCCGGTTCAGAATGGTCTGGTTTCTTTTGGACCAGAGAAGGTAGTGCGGTTTTAAGGCACCCCCACACGGCCAGTTTGAACGCCCCTTGGTTTACCGACAGGTGTTGCAGCGATGGAAGCGAGCAAGAGAACTCTCCAGCTCTCTCCAAAGTTTTGAATTTGGACTGCAGTACCCATTTTCAACACTAGGTGTCAGATTTTAAGAAAAAAGTTTGGTTGGAATGGTTTAATCACTAAATGTACGACTTGTTGTTTTGATGGAGTCTCTCTCTCTCTCTCTCTCTCTCTCTCTCTCTCTCTCTCTGTCTCTCTCTCTCTCTCTCTCTTCCCCCAGTGAACGGCGGTTGGTCAACATGGACGGAGTGGTCGGTGTGTAACAGCCGTTGTGGGCGGGGCTTCCAAAAAAGAACCCGTAGCTGCACGAATCCCGCCCCCCTCAATGGAGGACTGCCGTGTGATGGAGTGGCCATACAGAAGCTGCCTTGTACCTCACTTTGCACCGGTGAATTCAATATAATATGTTTTGAAGTTTCAGTTAATATAGATTTATTACGCTTGTGTTAATCTGCTTTGAGTTAATTTACTGTATCTACTTCACTCTGTCCTTTGTGTGCCATTTTTTATGCACCCCTAAGCTTCACACTGGCCTGTCTGGCCTCACCTTCTGCAAGATTCTTTTCATAAACTGTCCTGTCCTATATGCACAACACCTGACGGAGTACTTCAGGACATTTTCCCTGCTCTCATTTATTTTCTTTCTCACCCGTGGTATTCTTGTATCTCCTTCTCCCGCTCCCTGATCTTCAGTGGACGGCGTGTGGACGGACTGGAGTAAGTGGTCGGCCTGTGGGACGGAGTGCACCCAGTGGAGGAGGAGGGAGTGCAACAACCCGGCGCCCAAAAATGGAGGCAAGACTGCGACGGGCTGGTGCTCCAGTCTCAGAACTGCACGGACGGACTCTGTATGCAAAGTGAGTGGACAAAGTTTCTCTTTAATATGCACTGGATTGCATCAATAACTTACTGACTCCAGATGATAACTGACCCCCCAGACCTTGCAGGGCATTTGGCTGGTAATGCAGGACAGACATAAGTGAATATTAGTGTAATGTGACAACTGAATGGGTTCGTGTACATCCTGAGAAATCTGTGACCAGATCCAGTCAAAGTAAGCTAAATATTTAAAAGTAAAACAGGTATCAAGTGCAAATCTTCTAGAAGAACCTTCAAATGTCCTTAAAGGTATCAGCCCTGAGGATGTCGGGAAATCAGTGTGAACTTGGAAAAAAAACGAGTCTCAACATCACTGCAATTAGACGGTAACGCAAGTGTTAATCAGTGTCTTCACACATGCACGAGTTGAACGTTTCTGACATGCCGTTAATCTCACCTTTCAACATTTCAAATGTCATTGTCTCCATCGTGCATCTACTCTGATTGTGTATCGTCTCTGTTGTAGAAACCAATTAGCAGTTTTCTATTCCCATCTATTTAACCCCTTTGTGCATGATTTGTTTAAAGTCTTTATTTGTGATTTTTCACACTTAAATATAATATAAATCAAGTATATCCTCTGAAAATAACTCTGTGAGTCATGACTGTCTACAATGGGTGTAACACCCGAGTTCCACTGTCTGTGATGTTTTCAGAGTTTTCAGAGTCCTATCTTCACTTTGTTTACATCGCCGGGACGGCCGGCCGACTCCTCCCCTCGTGTATAAAAGTTGTTTAATTGAGGGACTAGAGAAAAGAAGAATAACATACTGTACTCACTGCTTAACTGTGTTTCTAGATCACGCTCATTTCAGGTAAATTTAGCATAATAAAGATCGCTAGCATTAGCATGCTAACACAACAATGCAGCGCGATTGTTTTGGTTTCATGCTGGTGCTCAAGGGCGACATCTGCTGGATGAAAAAATTGCATATAAAGCCTTTAAGAACAGAGCAAAAGCTAACTTTTTTTTTCTAATGCATGAACACATTTGTTAGTGATTGGCTTGAACACCTCTCCACTATACTGACCACTACGCCTGAGATTTGTTTAATTTCTCCCCATTTTCTTCACTTTCTTCTTCCATCTGCTCCTTCCATCAGTCTTATCATCTCATCCTCTTCCATCCTCTCCCCTCTCTTTATCTTAAGTTTGTTTCCTTGCTCCCTTCTCTTATTGCCTTTTGGTTTAATGCCTTTCTCCAGTAGACACCCACTCCTCTTCCTTCCATTTTTTACAGCAATTTGCTTGAACATACTCATTTTCTTTATTCTTCTGAGCTCGTAATAGTTACATTACGGGAGGGCTTCTTAATGTCATCATCATTACGCTTGCCTTTTTCCACCTTTCTTGCCCATTACTGTAGTCAAAAAACAACCTTTTTCCCCCCTCTTAAAGGGGAAAGTAATGATAGATAATGATGTGGAACAATCATCCAAAAATCCCTTCACAATTTAGTGATTTCTGACACCGGAAGAAGAAAAAAAAAAGTGCGGTCAATTACAAAAAAACCTGCTGGAAAATGCTGGCTGAGTCATAACGGCACAAATATAGAAGCGGCACTTTTTTCCAAGGTGGAGGCAATTATATTTGTTGACTTGTAGGAATAGTGCTGGTTGCTCCCCGTGCTTGGAGTAATTGGCAGACCAGCGTCTGACGAGAAACGAGAGGGAGACAGAGAGAGGCCTGTCAGAGTGACGAGAGGAGAGCAAAGGTAAAAAAAAGAGAGAGAGAGAGGAAATGAATTCACTTGTGTTGTTATAATCATGCCATTCATTCCCATCAGGCGTTCTTTTCATACAACATGGCAGATAAAGACCGTGTGTGTCAGAGGCTCAGTCTGTAGGGACTTGAGAGGGGTGGCCGGTTCAAGTCTTGGTGTGGACCAAAACTGGAAATTGGTCTGGTAGCCTGGTTTGCCATTTGCTAATTTTGAGCCACAGCTTTGGTTTAAGTTTGTCAACCCTCAGGGGCCCCTTACTGGTCTGGGGCCCCAAGCAGTTGCCCGCCATGCCTGTTGACTAACAGCGCCTCTGGTGCCAGTTCACTTCCTGGGCACTGCCAAGGTGCCAGGAGTGCTCGCTGTGGGAAGCCCCCTCACTCTGACACTCTCCATTAGCACATGTGTATTTCAGCCCATGTGTGTGTGTAGCATGTTCAACAACAGAGTATACTATTTAATTTCCTCTTGTGGGAAAGTACATTTCTGATACAATAATAAAACTGTATGCCATGGAAACACAAATCCCGTTCTGTCAGGAGGGACTCGGCTGCAAACAATCAGGGAAACGAAAAACATGTCTCCTTCTTAAAATGCTGAATAAACATTAAAGTTATTTACAGCCTCCCATTGGCTGAGACATTGCCAGAGTCGTATTAAGTCAGACTTTCTTGAGCTGCCGTCAACATATTTGTTTATTGACCTTTATCTTACCCGGAGTGCGTCAAATGAAATGAAAATCCTTTTTTTTTTCAACAGCGTCCCGGCAAGAAATGACAAAATATATTCAAACAAAACTATGAAGAGTTATGACTCTGCAATACCAACATAGTTTAAATAACATGCTTTGGTGGGCTTTGATATTGTTTATTTTATTGCTGCATAATTCTAGATAATCACATCATTTTATTAATTTAATTGTGTTACTATAAAATGTTGTTTTCATTGTTATCATTAGTTGTAGAAGTGGTGATTCATTTTTATTAACAAGCAAAGTGATGCCCAGCCCACAATTTACAAGACACTGAACAACAAAACAGACCAGAGCGCTTACAGCAATGACAGAAAAATTACTTTTAAATTCAGTGTGTTGGATGCACTTTAAATACCTTATTTTCGTTTGAAATGTTGGCTCCATCCTCCAGTGAAACCGATATAACCTGCACCGTCATTACCTCAAACGCACCCACCACCATCATGTATTTAACAAGTGACCACCTGACCTGATTGAAAATAGGAGACCTTAATCTTAATTATCTTACAATAATCACGCTACATGTCAAGAAATGACAAACAACATATGAACACTATATTGCTCCTCAGACATCATCCTGCACTGTTCAAAGACATGTGAATCAAGCTGAAAAACTTAAGTAAGTGAGCTTGAGCAGGGGAACCGAAACATCGAATTTGAGCCTGATTCCCACCCTTCCGTCCAAAGTCAGCAAATGGTTCCAAAGACGATCTGGCCAGATTCTCCTATGAGTGATTTTTACCCTCCCCGATCTGCTTGGAAGACAATCTGGGCCGCCATGTTTTGAAATCGTAAATATTAAACATCTATATTCATACGATCAGAAATCCTCTTGTGTGGGTCACAGCTTTGCACAGTTGGTACATGTATGATGACATAGCACAGGAAGAAACATATAAACAACAGGGAGACAATGACGGACACAACAGCAGCAGAGAGTCAGGAGCTTGATTTAAAAATAAAGATTTTTCAGGGTTTTATCTTTCGTGTTCATGACTCATAACGTCATGCATGATTCCTGCCTTACGTTGTGTTTTCACTCTAACAAATAATCCAGTAAGACAATCCTAGTGAGACATTCCTGGTCAAATAAATGAAATCAGAGCAACCTCTTGTTCAGGAGATTTCTATATTTCATCAGTGAACACAAAGCAGCCCGGGGGGGGGGGGGGGGGGGGGGATGTTTCATCACATGCAATGGAGTAATATTAAATAATCCCTCAGAAGGCTTTTTGGCCTGCAGGCATGTTATTGACAGGATTTACAGTATATTTCAGAGGCCTGCCCACCTCCTGACGCAGTGTATTATGTGTCTGCGGTCCATCAGGAGGATTCCCTGAGGCCGCTCGCTGAGGCTCGGGCCACACAATCTGGGCTAAAGCCGAGAGAGGTATAGATTTAGACTCGTTTCCCCCTGATTGATTTTCTGTCGTTAAAATAACTCCACAGACGTGGTTTTATGCGCGCACTAATGTTTCAGCTGTTTCCTGTAGCATTTACTGGAATCCATGAAACGTGTGTGTTACTGTGTGTGTGTGTGTGTGTGTGTGTGGTTGTAAGAAGGGGTTTTGCATGCACAGGACTTTATAGGCAGAGTATATTTAAAAAGCTCTGAGTGATTCCTTTATGATTATACTACTTGGTTTATGAAAGATGGATCTTTAAATGCTGGTCTATTTAGGCTTCACACTGAACATTAAAGCTTCTTCTGCTTCAGTAAAGCAGAGAAAGAAAGATGTCCCGGTTTAATCTAGGAGACACCTTTTTGTCACACCTACATATATCTATTAATCAGTCAGTCAGACTTTATCTGTATACACGTTTCATACATTAAAAATGTTGTTTGAAGTGCTTTACATGAATAGAAAAATCAATAAATAAAACATCACCACGACCCCCCCTCAAATATTTGAGGTTATGTAAAAAAAATACATATAACAGGTTTAGTCTGTTTTTAATGAATTTAATCATTTTATTGTAGCCTAAATATTGTCATAAAATTCTACATATTGTACTTTTATGGTCCGGAAATTAAAAAACTTTTTACAAAACGAGATATTAAGACTCCATATAATGAAAAGACAAATTAAAATGTACAATAGAAGTTAATTGCTGTTTTTATTTTTAATGCAATAACTTTCATTGTTCCAGCGCTTTGAATCAGCTGATAACACTGTAAAAGCAGAGTTAATGTTTTTAGATAGAGCTCTGTAATTGACTTTATGCTCCAAAAACACTTCACACAACTCTCTCTCTCTCTCTCTCTGTCCCTCTCTCTCTCTCTCTCTCTCTCTCTCTCTCTCTCTCTCTCTCTCTGTCCCTCTCTCTCTCTCTCTCTCTCTCTCTCCCTCTCCCTCCCCTTCTCTCTCTCTCCCTCTCCCTCCCCTTCTCTCTCTCTCTCTCTCTCTCCCTCTCTCCCCCTCTCCCCCTCTCTCTCCCTCTCTCACCCTCGCTCCACCAACACCAGCCGCCTCTCTCTTCTTCTCCTCCGTCGTCTCTCTCTG